AAAACAAAAATATCTTCTGACACCAGACTGCTCTTTTTTTCCTTAGGAATAAATATGATTATCTTGCCATTTTTAACATCATTATACCTGCCATTTATTGATCACTGATAATTTGCCAAGTGCCAACCACTAAATGCTTTTGCATGTATTTTTCTGTTCTTCAGTGGGTACTATTATCCCAGTTTGCAACTTTAAAAAAAAAAACCACCTTACCTACAATGATACAACTTATCAGGGGCAAGCTTGGGATATAAATCCAGATAAACTGCCTTCTAAATCTAGGGTTTTTAAAAATGTCATACAATGAAATATGCTATCTACCTTCCATTTTACCCCATATCTCAATGTGTCTCTCCCCAACTTCGTGTCCTTTTTTCTTTTTTGTGATAATACAGTCTAGTTAGGGATGCCCAATAGTGCATGGGTGTGGGGCCATCCACTAGAGCAGGGAAAACCTATTAACCAGTAAAGAATGAGTCCCCTTCCCCCAGCAACTATCCACTGCCAATAGTACCTCAGTATGGGGTAGGGCTTAGAGATCATCTACCCCATCTACACCAGGATTTGGGATGGCTTGATCCCGTGTTGGTCTTATGCAGGTAACCATAGCTTTGAGATCATGATTACAATAGGCATGTCACTATCATGCCAGGATGGCAGCATTTCACAGCACTTTTCCCATCCTCTGGCTCTTAGATTCTTTCCACATCCTCTTCCAAGATGTTCTCTGAGTGCTGGTGATAGGAGAATTAATATATAGTTCATCAGGGTTCAGCACTGAATCTCTTATTCTCAGCACTTTGATCAGTTATGCATCTCTCCAGTAACTGCTATCTACTGCAAGAAGATTCTCTGACCAAAGCTGAGAGCAGCCCAGGTCTGTTCACACTGGGAATGGGCAGACCAGGGGATTTTAAGCTGAGGGGTCAGGCTAAATTTAGGCTCTTGATACAACATGTTGAATGTTATACTGGGCATGGTGGTGCACATCTCTAATCCTGGCCCTGGGGCAGCAGAGGCAAGTAGATCTTTGTGAGATTGAGGCCAGCCTGGTCCACACAGTGACTTCTAGCAGACTGGGAACAGGGAAACCCTTTCAAAAAAAAAAAAACCAAAAAACAAAACAAAACAAAACAAAAAACCATTCTGAATGTTGAATCTAGATAGGGGAGAGCCCAGGATTCAGAAACTCAAATTCTAGCTAGGATCTGCTATCCTGATTAAAGACTAGTTCACTTCAGCTTTCTGGATCAAAATTTTCTTACCTATAAATGACAGAGTTGGACTCTGTAATTAAGATACCAGCTCTTTGTGTTGTGAAGGCAAAATTTTAATCCAAAAACAGAACAACAACCTGAACAGATAGAAAGGAAGTAACATTTGTGCCAGGAACAAAATGATAGGATAAATAAACGTATTATCTTACAGTACACCAAAAATTGGCAAGAAAGGCACTATCATCACCACACCTGAGGAAACTGAGATTTGAAGAGGTGATTAAATTCTATAATCATCCCAGCAGTCTGTGACAGAGCTGGGCTGTGAATCAAGGCCTATTCTGCATTGCCTCTTGATGTGAATCACCTAAGAACAGAATTTCCATTGGCTTTCTACCTCTGAAAAGTCATGATATTTTTGAAGCCATATACTAATAAGATACAGTAGAGGGGGCTGGAGAGATGGCTCAGCAGTTAAGAGCACTTGCTGCTTTTACAGAGGACCTGGGTTCGATTTCCAGCACCTACATGGTGGCTAACAACCATCTGAAACTCCAGTTCCAGAAGGATCTGATACCCTCTTCTGACCTCCAAGGGCACTGCATGACTCAGGTGCACCTACGTACATGCCAAAAGTGGGCATCTGATCCCCTGGAATTGTAGTTCTGGGTATTGTTAGCTGCCATGTAGGTATTGGGAATCAAACCTAGGTCCTCTTAGCCACTGAGCCATCTCTTCAGCACCTCCTAGCTTCTTTAAAAGGGATTATCGAATACCCTTTTTAAAAGATACCATCACTTAGTCTATGTATCTTAGCAATCAAATGATCTGTAATTCAGTTACATGTCCAGAAGTTTAAACTTCATCAGATATGTAATGTGAAAAAAGCCACTTTAATTTTTATGATACTGACTCACTAATTGCCTTGAGTCCAGAGATCAGTTTTTATTGTCAAGGAATCAAAAGACTCCAGGAAAGCATAGTATGAAAAGCAGTCTACTCTGTTCATTCCTTCCTTAGATTAATGCATCTCTGTAACCAAACATCTACATAAATGTTATTGGTGTTATAATTATTTTCTAACAATGTGTTGTCCTACTCTCATACATATATAAATATATATATATATATATATTTTTTTTTTTTTTTTTTTTAGAGCGGGTCTCTAAAAGAAGG